AAAAATAAAAATACATAAAATTAGAAGAAAAAATTATTTTTTATTTATAAGCTAAATTTTATCATACTAAAATTTATCAATAGTTAAAATGGTTTAAAATACTAAATATTAAAATATTAAAATAAAATAATTACAAATACTTAAATAATAGACCAAACTTTCAATAATAAAAGTATAAAAATGTCATAAAAATAATTCAAATGACAAATATATACCAACTAAACATAATTTTAATGTCATAATAATTTTAAAAAATTAAATACACAACTTAATATTAAAATCATAATATTTAAAAATATTAAATGTGAAGTCCGCGGACTAGCCCGCGAGCTCGCGGATTAAATCCGCCAAGTCCGCGGACTTAACGGCCCGGGCTCAAAAATTAGACATAATCATACGGATTTGAAAAAAATGGGCCCGTTATCCGCGAAATTCGCGGGCTTACGAACCGGTCCGCGGACCCGGGTCCATCAAAACTTCTTTAGGCTTCAAGCTCTCCTAAGCTCAACAGTGCCAAGTGTGGTTTGCCTTGTGAAAACTTGTTGTTTGATTGAGACAATGGTGAACATGTTTAGGTTAGTTGCATCTATTACATGTTGCATTTGATATATGTTGTTAGTTCTTTATGCATTGATATGGGATAATCTATATTGATGATCAAATGGTTGATAAATGAATGTTGTTGAATGGTGTTGGTTCTATAAACATTGATCAAGGATAATGTTTATAGATGATAAACTATTTAACCGTTAAGGCAATGGTGCTAAGAATGCTTTACGCATTATGACATTAGGGTATGTTGTGTTGATTGACTTAAGACAAGATGAGATGGTGTTTTTAAAAGTTTGATATCCCATTGTGAGGATATTGGTATGGTACTCAACCCAGTTATTGAAAACTTTTCTTAAGTAGTTAACCCTTGAAGTGAATAATTAAATTTTCTCTAGGACCTTAGTTGATATGGTATGTGGGTAAGGTTGAGGTATATTGGCTATAAGTGACCACAGTATAGGGGCTAGGTCAAATTGTACTAATTACAAGTCAATGTTGATCCATATGTGGGTAAGGTCGAGATATACATATATAAAGCAACCAACCGAGTAAGGTACAAGGCTAGGGGCCAAAATCTCTAACTGAATACTAGAAGGGCGTATGAAGGCTAGTTGATGGGTTAATCTCATAAGAGGTTTAATTATACAAGTTAATATCATGGTAGGTTCACACCCAAGTTGTTCAACCATAACAATAATACTAGACCTCTTAATTTAAGTGATGACATTTGAGAAATCATGTTATTGTGGACTTTGATTCAAATTGACTGTTGATCTAGTAGTGTAAAATAGATCGTGTTGGTTCGATAAAGTCAAACCAGTTAGACTATTCATCTTGTTGTAAGAGATCCTTATTAGTGAATGCGTAACAACACATGTAATTGAGATGAATGCATATTTTGTGTTGTTGTTGATATGATATGTGGATTATGATTGAATGAGATTGTGATGTGATTAAGTTGTTTGCTTTCTTCAGGTGTTGAATGCCATGTTATCTTGCTAGTTGTAAGCCATGTTGTCGGTGTGTTGCATGGTTTACATATCGGTGTTGGTAGTATACTTATTATACTTCTATATTTATTATATATTTATTCTTTTAAATACTAACTTACCTTTACATGTTTTCTTGTGGTTAGACTGCGACAATCATGTTTACATAAGAGCAAAGTAGGGATATGCTGGTGGCAAGGTTTGCTTTAAGGTCGGGTTGGTTGTTGGCAGAGATGTGTATTTTGGGGCTACTTTGATATAACTAGTATAGTTGAATTATTTGACTGACAACTTATGATTAATATTGAGTACTGAATATTGTTTATGTTTATACACTTGTGTGTGTGTGTGAATATACACACACTTTAGCAATTGTTTATATATCTTTTCATATATATATATTATATATATATATATATATATTATTGTGCATATATTTAGATATTGTTTATATATTAATTTTAGGTAGCTAGATGTTTTTCTGCTACTAGTAATTGAACTATTAAATATAAAGATCATGACTACTCATTAATCCCAAATCCAAAAAATAAAGAAAGGAAGTTGGATCCTTAAGAACAACAAGGGAATGGTAAATAAATCTAGAGTATTATATTAGTAAATACTATTTTTTTTAATTAAAATATAAAATTTCTTAAATTTACAAAGTATTGAATTTTAATAATTTAATTTTATAATATATATATATATATATATATATATATATATATATATAGATTCATTGATCGATGAATAAAAAATATTTTATATAATATATGTTTAATTTGCATAACTAAAATTTATTATTTTTTTATCATAAATAATATTCAAAATTTAAAATAAGTAATTTATATTATGGTAAAATTATTTTAATTAATGATATTTTAAAATATAAAAATTTAATTTAGAAATAAAAAAATGATAGATAAAATAGACCAAAAATTAATAAAAATTCTTTAAAAAGTTAAAGATATTTTCGCTAAAAAAGTAATTTTAATTTAAATATACAGAAGATAAATACATGTACTCATTTATTAAATGGCTCACTTTATTTAATAAACTAAATACTTAAAGATATTAAAATATTAGCAGAGAATGAGTAGCTTAATTCGTGTTTCATTTCTTATTTTAATTCACTATGTTTTCATCATAAAAATAAGGTAAAACACCTAATTTGGTCCTTTATAATAATTAATAGTTTCAATTTCATCTCTCTATAAATTTTTTATTTCAATTTGGTCCCTAATAATTTAAAAAATGTCAATATGGGACTTCCGTCCAAATTTTACAAACAGTGTCAAATGTAGATGACATAGATGCCACGTAGATACATACGTGGTAAGTTTCCATAGTCCTTCTTTAATGAACCTGGAACGACCCGTTCTGAAACCAGAACGAGTCGTTCTGATCTTACTCGTTATGTGTTAATTTTGTAACTGAAACGGCCCGTTCCAGATGCAAATGTAACACACAACGAGTGAATCAGAACGAGCCGTTCTGGATTCAGCACGGGCCGTTCTGAAACGCCAACCAGGATTGATGTTTAAATTTAAGTGTTACATTTCAACAAAATGTTCAACAAAATGTAGTAATGTGGTTCAAAGATTGAAAACAAAAATTCAGAATATAACATAAATTCAAATATTAAAATATGCACCAGAGTTGATCTTTTCATCCTTATTTTTCATCATTGCCCATATAAATAATAAATCAATTAGGCGTAGTTTACCGTCTGAGCCGCCACGACCTAGAACAGTAGATGCAATAAACTTATGCATAATTTTAATGGCAGCATGACGAATGTAGATGAATTGCATTAACCAGCCTCCCATTATGTATGACCTGTTACAACCTCCCAAAACATGTATGAATTAAATGATCTTGGGGTTCGAAATCCAAAGATACTATTAAATTCTTCCAAATTGAGACGATACTCTATATTAAAAAATTTAAAGAAAATCAATCATAGTTCACAATTTGCCCGGTTAAAATTTCAATATGGAGAAAACTAAGATATTCAAGAACAATCCTTGGATCTGGAACGGCCCATTCTGAAACCAGAACGGTCCGTTCCGCTTGCATTCTTTGTGTGTTTTTTTTTGAATCTGGAATGGCCTGTTCCAGATGCAAAATTAACACACAAGGAATGCAAGCGAAACGGACCGTTCTAGTTTCAGAACGGGCCGTTCCAGATCATTAAAGAAAGAGGAGAGGAGACATGCCACCTATGCATCTACGTGACATCCACGTCATCATCTTTAACGCTGTTTGTAGAATTTGGAAAGAAAGTCCCACATTGAAAGCAATTATATTATCATCATGTGTTCATTCAAAACAACGTAACATGTTAAAATCATTGATAAAATTACAACTGTATGTGAAGAAAAAAAATTAGTGAGTTTCTCACTAGATTTTTAGAAACCTATAAGCTCAAACTATATTTTGAAAGCAAGTAACAGAACACAACTCAGCTTCCTCAACATATCTTTGATGTCTTGCTGGCTTCTCAAGATACGGGGTTTACTTTTTCAGATCCGACGAAAAAGGCGAGAACAACACTTACAAGGATGAGGTTAAAATGTTTTTATATTGAGATCAATTGTTATGCATTGTGCCTCATTCTGAATTATTATTTAGTAAAATAATTAAGATGTAGGAGTTAAGAAATGAAAAGGTTGGAAGAAAAAGAAGTGAGGTGAATTTGTATTTATATTTTATAAAAATAGAAAACAGTCCCACATTATTATTATTATTATTATTACTAAGTGGAGCAAGAGGAAGAGGGTTGCTAAAAGAAAGGGGTTTGGTTTATTAAATGTAGTGTTAGTTTGTTTCGTGTGTTGTGTCATGGTGCGTGTGTGCTTTTGGACTCTTGCTATTGCATTGCATCATCCATAGCCAAAAAAACAAAAGCCTTCTCTGCTCTGCAAAGAGTGTGGGTCTGTTCCTCTCCTTTTATCTGTGCATCCATGTCGGCCACACACTTCGTGGCTTTCCAATATTTCAACCCCAAAGATTCGCTTTCGTGAATTCCGTTTTTTTCTTCTCTTCTTTTTCGCGGGTCTTTGTTGCCTTCGCTTCAATTTTGGAGATCTTCTTGCAGAGATTCTTGTGTGGGCAGTTACAGATTTTTTTTTTAAATTTTTTTTTATCCTCTTTGCTTCCTTTTTTATTAATTTATTTTTAACCAGAGACAAGACAGCGACTGAGACTGTTGTGTTGTGTTCTGTCTTAGATCTTGAACTGTGTTTTGTAACATGTTCGTGTTTCTGAATGAAATCATTTACTTCCAACCTTATCACTGTCTCTCCAACTTTGTCTTCAAATTCTGTGTTTCACTTTGAGTGAACTACCTTCTATTAACAGAACAACAACAGAAAAGATAACAAAAATTGGTGGGCTTCAAGTGTTTCCTTGAAATTTCATATTTTGGAGCACTGCCTCCATGAAAGCCACCCTTTGACAGCTTCAATTTTCCTGGACATTAGGGACTTTTGGTATCAAAGTTGCGGAGACAAAGCAATTTAGAGAGAGAGAGAGTTTTCATGTTTGAATTGGTCAGTCAACAAAATTGGGACTCTGAAACTGTGGGCGACTAGGATTCTCTTTCTCAGTGGAAATATAATTTGCAACCACTTTGTGAGGCTTCTCTCAATTGTTGTGGACACGTGGCACTGAATTTTCTTCTGGCTTCTTTGTTGGTGTGATCATATACATGTTTTTTAAGGTAAGAAAGAGGCTCATAATAATGCAACTGTGCTGATCTTTTAATTCAGAAATGAATGTTTTTTTATTTCTTCTTTCTTAGTCATCAATAGTTTGCTCAATTTGGGAAAAATTTGCACTTGCAGTGAAAGATGATTACATTCATGGACACAAAAGAGAAATCAAAGGAGGTGGAGAGGTGTTTGGATCCTCAGCTATGGCATGCGTGTGCAGGTGGTATGGTGCAGATGCCTGCAGTGAACACTAAGGTGTATTACTTCCCTCAGGGGCATGCTGAGCATGCATGTGCACCAGTTAACTTCAGGTCTTGCCCTAAGGTTCCACCTTTCGTTCCATGCAGAGTGGCTGCAATCAAATACATGGCTGATCCTGAGACTGATGAGGTCTATGCCAAGCTCAGGCTTGTTCCTCTGAATGCCACTGAGGCTGATTATGACCGTGATGTTGTTGGGGCTGAAACCCAGGACAAGCCTGCTTCATTTGCAAAGACCTTGACCCAGTCTGATGCCAACAATGGTGGGGGGTTTTCTGTTCCTAGGTATTGTGCTGAGACAATTTTCCCCCGGTTGGACTACTCGATCGAGCCTCCGGTTCAGACCATCCTTGCCAAGGATGTTCATGGGGAAACATGGAAATTCAGACACATCTATAGGGGCACGCCGCGGCGGCACCTGTTGACCACTGGGTGGAGTACTTTTGTGAATCACAAAAAGCTTGTTGCAGGGGACTCAATTGTGTTCTTGAGGGCCGAAAATGGAGATCTTTGTGTCGGGATCCGGCGAGCAAAGAAGGGGATTGGTGGAGGACCTGAGGCTCCCTCAGGGTGGAACCCTGCTGGTGGAAATTGTCCTGTGCCCTATGGTGGATTTTCAGCGTTTCTGAGGGAAGATGATAACAGAATTCTGAGGAATGGTAACAGCAATGGGTTGAACCCAAGTGTGAGTATGATAGGCAGGGGAAAAGTGAGGCCAGAAGCGGTTATTGAAGCTGCAAATCTTGCAGCCAATAAGCAACCCTTTGAGGTTGTTTACTACCCTCGGGCAAGTACACCGGAGTTTTGTGTGAAGGCTTCACTAGTTGAAGCAGCACTGCAGATTAGGTGGTGTTCTGGAATAAGGTTCAAGATGGCCTTTGAAACGGAGGACTCCTCGCGTATTAGTTGGTTTATGGGAACGATATCTTCAGTTCAGGTTGCTGATCCCCTTAATTGGCCTAATTCACCTTGGAGGCTTCTCCAGGTAACATCATAGAACATTACATATTACTGCAACATGATGAATTGTACTCATGCTTATTTGTTAGTTCATTTTTGCCCGAGATGCCTTAGCATCAGCAATATACTCAGCTGTTAAGGGAATTTGGTAGAAATGTTATGGTGTCATTCATGCATTGGACTGTGGATATATGTAGAGTTGTTAGTTGATGGTAAAATATGTTGGCACGGATGCATTCAGTTAATTAAAATTTAGAAACGATTGAACTTTGCAGTTACTTATTGCTAATTAAATTTACTTCTGGAAAATTAGATTTATAGATGAATTCTATGATGTTGTTTCTACATTCACTCAAGATTACACTCTTGTCATGCAACTAGTAACATTTTGCGTGTTTAACGCTAGTAAAACCTGGTTAACTTGAATTTCTCTATTATGAGTCAACTCCGACTAATTTGCTTAAGTTATACATGTAGGTTACATGGGATGAACCAGATTTACTTCAAAATGTGAGAAGGGTGAGCCCATGGCTGGTTGAATTGGTGTCAAACATGCCTGCCATTCATCTTTCTCCTTTCTCACCACCCCGGAAGAAATTGAGATTGCCTCAACACCCGGACTTCCCGCTTGATGGCCAGATTCCTTTGCCAACATTTCCCGGCAACCTTCTAGGTCCCAGCAACACCAACCAGTTTGGATGTTTACCCGAAAGTACTCCTGCTGGCATGCAGGGAGCCAGGCATGCTCACTACGGTATATCCTTATCGGATCTCCACCTCAATAAACTGCAGTCAGGTCTATTTCCGGCTGGTTTCCCGCCCCTTGATCATGCTGCTACACCAATGAGGGTCTCAAACAACCCAACATTGCCAAAGCCCAGCATGAGTGAGAACGTCTCTTGCTTACTATCTATGGCAAATTCTACTCAGTCTCCAAAGAAATTGGATGATGGGAAGACACCCCATCTCATGCTTTTCGGCCAAAAAATTCTCACCGAGCAGCAGATCTCTCTAAGCAGCTCTGGCGATACACTCTCCCCAGTTCTTACCAGAAATTGTTCATCAGATGGAAATGCTGATAAAGTGGCTAATTTTTCCGATGGTTCTGGATCAGCTCTTCATCACCAAGGCCAACACGAACGCTCCTCTTGCGAGAGGTTCCAGTGGTATAGGGATAACCACCAAGAAAGCGAGGCCAACTTGGAGACTGGTCACTGTAAAGTTTTTATGGAATCAGAAGATGTTGGTCGGACTATGGACCTTTCGTTGCTTCAGTCTTATGATGATCTAAACAGAAAGCTGGCAGACATGTTTAGCATAGAGAAGTCTCAGATGTTGAGTCAGGTACTATACCGCGATAAAACTGGAGCAGTCAAACACATTGGTGACGAACCATTCAGGTAGTAATAAACACAATCATTGTCCTATTGAATTGGAAAATACGGTCCATGGTAGAGCCTGACTTGTTTATCTCTTTGATGCTGTTGCAGTGACTTCACAAGAACAGCAAGGAGGCTGACTATTCTAATGGATTCTGGCAGCAATAATGTAGGAGTGTAGTGGAGGAAAGTAAACCATTCTTTCAATTGTACAGATGGTTCATGAAGTCCTCTATTCCCATTTTCTGACCCTTTAGCCCTCTTCCTGGAGCAATGGAAGGAGGCAGCCTGATCTAATTTTTGAATATCAAAGCTCTCCACATAAATGTTTCTATTTTGTCTCAAAGGGATGTTTGGATTTTGGAATTTTGATTGGAGTGATCATAACTCGTATTTTCCTCCTCTTTTCGCTTTATCTTTGCCTAGTTGAGTTCTCTTTTCAAATTTTGTTGAGGACAAGGAAAAAAGTTTGAGATCCTATAAAGATGATTGGTTTGTACGTAGTTAAAAAAAACAGTATTCAAGTCGAATACCTGTTGAAACAAGGGGAGAGTCATTCTTGCTTTTATGTATTCACCTCTTCAGAGATTGTACCATTTTCTTGTTGCTGCCTTATAAATTACTTACAATTAAAATTTAATCTTGTGTTAAATGCAAATCTAAGGCTGAAAATTATGTACCTTTATACTCATGTAGACAAAACTAGGGTCCGTTTGTTTTATTTTGCTAACTCCGTTTGTACGATTTCTAATGTGAAAAACAGAAAAACACGTTCTAATGCTAACAAGAGGCTTTTGTCCGAATTACGATAGAGTATCTTTTGGCTAGTGCTTGTTGTGGTACTATCAGAATCAGTGGAAGCTCAGATATTGGTGTTTGGAGAAAATGCCAGGAGATGCACATGTCTAAGATAATCTTTGTTAAGTTGGTGTTCTAATTTATGTGTGATAAACATTTGGTTTTGCTTTAGGGGGATTTATTCGTTTTCTCTGATTGGTTTAGAAGACATTTGTATCAGACATTCAAATCTGATCTTTGGCATTTCTCATGCCAAATTTCAGGATCATTATCTATTAATGACATCATTTTATTTTTCAAAGAAATAAAAACTATAATGATTTTTTCGTAAGAAACTTTTTTTTTTTCGCTTCTGTGGAAATTTGTTTTGAGCCTGAAATACAAACAGGCTCATAAACAACGGGTCTGAGTTCTACTTTGGTAGTAGGAAACTGGTGCACGGTTGGATTATTCTTGGCATGACATGAGCAATGACAGTGAACTAGAAAAGTGTGAACAAGTTTCCATTCTAGAGACACATCATGTTTGTGGATGCACCGTTGATCTTCCCAAGTAATCTTTTCTTGCTTGACCCGGAAAATTGAACAGGACAGGAACAACGAACAAGCAAAACAAATACCAAAAGAAAAGAAAAAAAAAAAAAAGATTATGTTGGTTGAATGTCTAATCACGGGATAGAAGCATAGGTGGAGTTGACTTAATGAGCAGTTAACAGATAGAAAGATTACGAAGCTAGTAAAAAAATGCCACATGGAGGACAATGGCATGGAACAAGAAGGAAGAAATCACATAGATGGAATGGAAAATTCAACGAAACATAGGTCCCATGGTGATGGCGCAAAGTGTGGGAGATAATTAATAGGGAAATTAATTAATGTTAAGTTATGGGTTATCGGGATTGCAAAAACAGAGTTGTCAAACACAAAGTCAATAATGTGTTAGATTCGGAGCGTGACACCCATAAAATATTGTTAAGAAAAACCAACATTATAGTAACAAGAAAGAAAGAGGTGGAAAGCAGAGGAAGACACATTCCTAATTGACTCCACTCACAAGAAAAAGGGATATTATATATATTGTTATAAAATATATTAAGAGGGCGCACGTGAGAAGGTGGGACCATGGTAAAGTAAAGGTAAAGGGAAAAGTAATTATAGGTTCACGTGTGGGTGACGTCATCGACGGTGGGTTTACGCATGTGTTGCGGCGTGTTGGCGACCGAGCTGTTTTGCTGTTGCCTCCACCTCATCGCTTTTGACTATACTAAAATTAAACCCATTAAGTGCTATGTATAAAGTGTCATGTGGTGACTTATCACACCAAAGAGGAGGTTATCATCACCCTTAGACTCCCCATTATTCACTGTTTCATCCATTATAGTATCAAATTAGTGCTCTCCAATTTCATCCTTCATCACTTATGATAATTTTATTTATCTATATTAAAATTATCCCTTAAAGACATACATGTGGTTTAGTTTTAAAAAAAAACAGTAGAAGAGAGAAAATGTTTACATTTTACTGAATTTGTTGATCTAGTTTCTATTATAAAAAAATTGGTAGTTTATTTTTACTGAAAAAACTATGAATTCACTTTAAAATAATTTTACACATAGTATATGACTATATATATATATTTTTATATTAAATAACGGTGTAAAAAAATTTACACTAAAAACATAAGTCTATTTTTTATTAAAAAGATTGTTTGATTGGTATTAATAGAAAAAAAATTTAGATATAATGTTTTTTTATATATGGTCAGTGTAAACCTCCAATTAAAACCTTAATTTTATCTCAATAATATATATA